GACAAAAGCCGCCAAGACTCAGGCGCCCTCCCCGGGAGCCCGTGTGCAGAAAAGGGGCGAGGAAGCGTGCGCCGCTCTACCCATCCCTTCTCCTTCAGGAGCGCTGCCCCTCCCCGGCCCTTGGAAGCTGTGGGCCGCGGAGGCCCGCGGGACCTGCACACAGTAGGGCTTCGCAAAGCAACTGCTCAGCTGAGCCGCCGGAGACACCCCGCGGGGCCAGGCCCTTATAAGGGACAGCCGTGCTCATGAAGATGGAGGGGAACGCGCTTTGGGGTCAGAGTGCCCTGGGGACATGAGGGACGCGAAGATGAGACTCAGCACCGTCAAGTGCCTCCTGGGTGCCAGTCGTCTAACCCTGGAGACCCCGTGGTTAAAGGTCTTGGAACGCGAATGTGGTTGCCTCCTGGAGTGCTGGCACAGGCCGGGTCCTAAGGATGTGTAGGGGACCCTACTCCATGTCCATATATCTGCGGTGGACAGTGGGAAGCGGGAGTCATCTACAGACCAGACTGCCAGACCCAGCCCGAGGAGGGCCGCCCAGCCTTGCAGCTCTGACCCGCCTGGCTGCTTGCCCGTGGTTCAGATGATTGGAAAATCAATAGTAGTTCCTCTTCAGACCAAGAGTGGGGCGCCCTCTGTAAGTATCTACCTGTCAGTTTCAAGGAGAATGATTGGGATAAAGGTTAAAGATAGCTTTCATTGATATTCCTATTTTGTTTTGGTCTTAATTCCTTCCCTCAGACAGAAGTGTGTGTAGGTGTGCTCGTGGGCTCAGAGAGAGAGAGAGAGAGAGAGAGAGAGAGAGAGAGCCAGCGCGGAGGCACCCCCAGGGGCAACAGCCATATACCGCCATCTCTTCTCTATTCTCCCAGGATTCCGGGCAGGCATGCACTCACACCCGGCATGTTTCTTAAGTTGCCTGGTGCAGAATTCAAGACGAGGACTCAAGCCCTGCGTTCAGCCACACAGGACCCACCTTCACCCCCACCACTGGTTGGCCCATCTTCCTCTTTTTTTTTTTTTTTTTTCAGTTCTTTATCCTGCCGCTCTCCATCATAAACAGTCCCTGTTCTTCGCAGTTGTTGCTCTCCACCTGACCCTCTCAAACAAGGTCTGCACACCTTGTCTCAGCTTATGCCTCAAGTAAGTAAGCAGGGACACAGCTTAGACAGGTGTGTCTGGTTGTGGGGTCCCGTCCCCAGACCTGGGACCACTTCACTGCTTTCTTCATTCTCAGAACTCGTTGTATCAATGCCTTACTGACCACAGACCCCTGCCTTGAGGTGACTCTGGGATTGTCTTGTCCTGTGTGTGTTAACATGTTATGAATTTATGCCGTGCCTCCCTTGTAAATTAATACGAAGTTTGAAGATGGTGCCATTCAGTTTAGGCGTCCCCTCGCCCCAGTGAACCCTCATTCTTCATCTATGGATTTGAACAAAGGCATCCACTGCCCTAGTAGAGAGGTTCAACCTTTCAGGTACGGCCCCAGCCTCTCACAAGCTCCCACCTACTAGACGCCAGGGTGTAAGTAAAAGGAGTCTACTCTCGTCCTTTTTTTTTTTTTTAAGAGATTTTTGCTATAGGGCATGTGCACTCCCTAGAGAGACAGAGACAGAAATCACCCCCATGGGGAATGGCCCACAGCAGTCCCTTCTCCTTCATTCTCCTCTTGGGATTTTGGACACGGACACACATGTGCCTGGTGTGAGCTTCAAGCCGCTGGGTCTGGAACTCTAACCATGGCCCACTGCATGGGAGTCCAGCTCCTTAACCAGTTCGCCACCTGCTTGCCCCTCCTCTCCGTTCTTAATCAACTCAAGACAATGAAATGTTTGCCCACCATTTAGAAGGGATCAACATCAGAAATAAAAATAAAAACTGCAACTTTGTGATAATAGAAATAACTCATGGGCACCAACTCTCTAAGGAAAGTGAGGTCCTTGGGGGTTCCTTAGTCTTCCAGGTCTGAAGGCACAAAACTAAATGTTACGTCTTGGGATTTAAATCATTCTGCCTTAGTGTCTAGGAAAATGTCTCCTAGGACTCTTAGCAGTGCAACTTATCGATGGTGTGACTGCAGACCAAGAGGGAATGAGTGGTACAAGGTGGTGTGTGTGCATGTGTGTGTGTGTATACATGTGTCCAACACACTCCTATACACACTTGTGTCTGAGAAGGGGACTAAGCAAAGCCTTTGGACTTTTGTACCAAAGTATGCAACAAACCTAGCAAACACATCTGAGCACCATTATGACCTGTTCTATGAGGGGACATACAAGAAGATAAAATAATGGATTTTAAAAATTATCTCACCCAATGCTCATTGTATAGATAAAGAAGGAAGCCAGAGAGGTTAGTTATTTCCATAAGACTCAATTCCACTAGCCCTCATTGGAATTTTCATCTGTTTTGCAGCTAAACCACACAACCTCTGGAAAGGAAGAAAATTAGCCTGTGTCCTCAACAGGCTTAAAGTCTGGCTTGGGGAGGGAGAGAGATGGGGTCAGAACCATCCTTCTACCCATACAATGTAGACTCCAGCTTTAGAAGCCCCACTCTGGGCCTCCTGCAACTACAGTGCTCCTCACGGGGCAAGGAGTCCATGAAGCCACAGAAATATCAATAGCCTGCCAGGAGCCCATCTCTCCCCATGTGCCAGTGCCCAGGACCCCGGGATTCCCTGCACAGTCAACCTCCAGGCTCACTTCCAGGGCCTTCTGGTCTCTTTCCTTCCAAGGGTGTTCCCCAAAGATAGACCACCATCTCGTGTGTCTGGTCCCAGGGATGGCAGGGGACCGTGGTTTGCAGTGGAGCACTAAAACTTAGACATGCAGGGAAGTGTCTACAGATGTGCACGTGAATCCTGCAGAAAAAAAAAAAAAAAAAAAAAAACAAGAGTAGAAAGAGAAACTCAGGCAAGACCCAAACTCATACGGCAACCCAGCTGCCATGCTCCTGCAACACAACTCCAAGGAATCAGAATTCTGTCTTTGAACTCAGCCTACCAGGTCATTATAGAGGGATATTTGTCAAAGAAGGAGGGGAAAAAAAACCACTTTTAATGACTAGTTGGCTTCCTTGGCATGAAACTTGCTGATATTTTGGTGTTAGCCCCATTTGTACTCTCAGCTGGGTCCCTCAGTTCTTAGGAGGGGACTGGATAAGGATAGGCAGAAAAGACTGACTATCTGAACAGTCAGAGGACAGCGGGAAGGCGGCAGGGGCTGCTGCCGAGAGCCAGGACTAGGAATCAGAGCAGCTGAGTCCTGTCAATCGCTTCTTTCTTTTTTAAACAGGGTCTCCTCTCCCAATCCTTCTGCCTCTGCCTCCCACCTGGGATAAAAGACACACACCACCATGCTCTGGTCTTTTGGTTGCACTGGGAATCAAACCTGAGCCTCCCGTGCGGTCCTCGCCTGCAGAACACAGAGTCTTAGCAGCGTACACCACTGCAGCTGGGGCTCAATCCTTCTTAACAGACTGTCACACAGAATTTTCTGAACTTGTGCAAAATGCTTAACCCTAATTGCAAACTTCAAACTTTATTATCTGATGATAGGTTTGATATATTAAAAGAATGATACAAAAATACAGTAAGTGTCCATAAAGTTCATCCCCTGGGGAGTGATTTCTCACTTTCCCTCTCTGTCTCTCTCCAGCGAACACATAAGCTCTACGACAAAAACCTTTAAAAAAAAAAAAAAACTATATTACAAAGCAAAACATGATAAATGTCAGAAAGAAGTTACAAAATGCTGAAAGGAGAAGCTATAATTGATAGGAAGACTCATGCGAAATTTCACTGTGGAGTTGCATGTGAGCTGGGCCTTAGGAAGTCCTTAAAGGCTGAGGAGGTTTTAGACAGCCAGGAAGCACAGGACAGGTATTCCTGGAGGAGGGAGTGGTGTGAGCAAAGACGTAAAGGCCGGAGAGCACAAGCTCTTTCTGGCTAGTGCACCAGGTGAGCTACAGCAGTAGGTCCCAACGCCAGCAGTAACATGAAATCATCTGAACCCCAGGACCAGCCTCATGGCCTACTGGTTACAGAAACCAATCACACATCACCAACCACATGGTTAGAATCCTGGCCCTGGTGGCTTGAAAACACCCCAGGCTCTTGTGCATGTGTGCCCCAAATTCCAATAGGATAGAAATGGAGACAGGATCACAACATGGCCACACCTCCCTGGGGGTGCTTCCTCTCTCTCCCTATCTCTGTCTTCCTCTGGCAAGTGCAAGTGCCTAATGGTGAATTTAAAAATCAAAATTACCTGGGCTCTAAAAAACAAAACAAGCAAAATCAAAATAAAACACCTCAGACCAATTAAAATGAAATATCTAAAGACATGACTTCATCAATCATGTCTTTTTTTTTTTTTGGAGAGGTTTTCGCTATAGGGCACGTGCGCTTGCCAGACAGACAGAGACAGACAGAGAGACAGAAAGCAAGAAATCACCCCCCAGAGGGGATGGTCACGCTGCAATCCTTTCTCCTCCATTCTCCTCTTGGGATCTTGGGCATGCATGCACACACACCCAGCGTGAGTTTTAAGCCACCCGGTCTGGGACGCGAACCGCAGTGGACTACGTGGGAGTCCAACGACATAGCCATTACACTAACTGCTGGTTCCCATCAATCATGTCTTGAACAACTCCCAGGATTCTGATGTGCAGTCTGGAGCAAGAACCACTGAGCTAGAAGCTTACCCATCAGCCTTTCTACCCAGAGTGGTAAGATAGAGACTTAGAGAGGTAACACACAGAGGAAAAAAAAAAAAAGCAGCAGCAGCAGCAGCAGGGGGAGAGCAAGGAGGACTTAAGGAGGACTTAGCTATCTGGCTAAAGGGTCCAGGCTTGATTTCGGAGGCAATGGGCAGTAAGGACATCACAGCGACATAAGAAGGATTGCTCTGTAGGCAATGCATAAGATGATTTGGAGAGAGCATGCATACTGCATGCATCAGCAAGTATAGGGACCGTAACATTTCTCACTATCAAATAGGCAAAGCTGCTAAAACTCTGATTATATCCATATGTGCAAGAGTATAGGGAAGCGGGCAACCTCAAATTTTACAGGTGAGCGTATAAATTGGTATAGCCATTTTGGAGTACCTGCCTCTAAATAACTGGATGAGAGAGAATGTTCGAAAATAAAGATGAGGTGTATTCAAGAATAAGCACGGCCGCATGCAATACCCTGGCCACAGTAAACTATAGTTCTGTTCAGAGAGAGAAGGAAAGACAAGGGTTTTTGAAAGAAAAATGAGATGTTATGTAAGTTGCTTGAGGATAACTATCCTAGGCTACCAGGATCAGTAAATAGCAGGGGGATGTCAATCCAAGGTTAGACAGCCAGTCTCTGGGCAGCTGTCCTGTGACAGTGGCCTTTGTGCAAGGTTGTGGCTCTGGCTGGGTCCTTGTGAAGCTTCTCGTCATCAGGCATATGTGCAGGAGAACTGCCCCTTTCATGGCGTTCCCTGGCTTGTCAAGATTTAACACAAGTCAACACAAATGATTCCATTTTGATTCCAACAACTTTCACAGGGTTTCAATTTGGCCTCTAAGATTTTTAATTGACTTACCATTTTGCCCAGAAAGTCCACTTCAAAATACTTAAGCTCTTTTTTTTTTCATTTTTCCTTTTTCTTTTTTTTCTTAGAGAGATTTTTGCCATAGAGCATATACACTATCACCAGAGAGACAGAGGGAAAGAAAGTGAGAAATCATCCCCCACCCTGGGGGAGGTCCCCCCCCCCCGGGGGGAGGGGGGAATTGGCCATGCCACAATCCTTCCTCCTCCATTCTCCTCTCAGGATTTTGGGCACACACACTCATGCTCCTGGAGTGAATTTTAAGTCATTGGGTCCAGGACTCAAACTGTGGTTGACTAAGTAGGAGTCCAGCAACGTAACCATTACACCATCCACCGGTCCCTCCTTTCTTTTTTTTAATCAGGTTTAATCCAGCCAGGTAAATTCAGTAATATAATTCAATCACATAACACTCACCTTTTTAAAGTGTTCAATGAGTTTGACAAATCTATGAAATCTTATAATCACTACCACATTCAAGATATGGAACATTGGCCCAGTTCCATATCCCGATGGTTAAGAGAAGCCCAATCCCAAGGCCAGCAGGTGGCATGGTGGTTAAAGGCATTGGACTCCCACATGGCTGACTGTGGTTTGAGTCTTGGGCCTGGTGGCTTGTTTTCTCACTTTCTCTTTCTCTGATTTTTTTTTTCTGGTAAAATTTTAAAAATAATAAAAGATAGAATTAAATAAATAAATAAATCTTTTTTTTAAAAAAAAGAACCCCAATCCCTCATGTCCCCAGTGGCGTGATGAACATACAGGACACATGTGCGTGTGTGCTTAAAATCCCAACGGGATGGAGAAATGAAGAAGGGATTCCAGCATGACCATGCCCCATTGCGAGGTGCTCTCTCCCACTCTCTCTGTCTCTGTCTCTCTCTGTCTTTCTCTGGCAAGCACAGACAACCTCTTGCAATTAAAGAAAGAACTATAGAACATTTCCTTTGCCCTGAAAAGTTCCCTTGTGCCAGCTTGCACTCTGCCCCATCCCTGATTCCTAGTTGCTGATCACACTTGTTTCCAGAGCTTTGCATTTTCCAGAATTTCATATAAATGGAATCATATAGTATCTAGTTTTTTGTGCCTGGTTTCTCTTTCTCTCTTTCTCTCTCTCTTAGTTTCCTATAGGATATATGCACTCGGCTGGGAGAGAGAGCAAAAAAGTGAGAAAGTACCCCCTTCACGGAGGATGGACATGCTGCAATCCCTTCTCCTCCATTCTCTTCTTGGAAGATTTTCAAGCCATCAGGTCTGGGACTCAAACCACATAGCTGGCCATGCGGGATCCAGGTGCCTTAACCACCATGTCACCTACTGGCCTCTGGTACTTTGGTCCTTTCTATTGCTAGTAGTATCCCATTGAATAGACATGCCACAATTTATCCATTAACCCAACTGATGGACGTTTGGGGGTGTTGTTTTTTTTGTTTTTTTTTTTAGAGATTTTCACTGTAGGGCGCATGCGCTCGCCAGACAGACAGAGACATAGAGACAGAAAGCGAGAAATCACCCCCCAGGGGGGATGGTCACGCCGCAATCCCTTCTCCTCCATTCTCCTCTCGGGATCTTGGGTACACACGCACACGCACCTGGCATGAGTTTTAAGCCACCGGGTCCGGGACACAAACCATGGTCGACTACGTGGGAGTCCAGCGACATAGCCATTACACTAACTGCTGGTTCCCTGGGGGTGTTGTTTTGTTAGTTTGTTTTTTGGCTATTATCAGTAAACTACTAAAACTTTTGTTTCTAGGTCTTTGTGTGAACATGTTTTCAATTCTCTTGGGTAAATACCTAGGAGTGGAATTCCTGGGTCACGTAATAGACATATATTTAACAGTATAAGAAATGCAAGACTGTCTTCCAAAATGGGATATATTTTACATTCTCTCCAGCAATGTATAAAAGCTCCAGATGTTCTACATCCTTATCAGTTCTTGGTTTTGTTAGTCTTTTTAATGTGAATCATTCTGGTAGGTATGTAATGATGTCCCCTTGTGACACTAATTTGCATTTTCTTAATGACTAATGATGTTAAGCACTTTTTCATGTGCTTATTTGCCTTTGGTATGTCTTCATTTGTGAAGTGTTTATTCAAATCTTTTACCCATTTTATAATTGGGTTGTCTCTTTACTACCAAGTTGTAAGTTACCTTTTTTTTTGAAGTTTTTGCTGTAGGGCATGTGTGCTTGCCAGAGAGTGACAGAGAGACAGGAAAAGAAAGAAATCATTCTCCAGGAGAGATGACCATGCCACAATCCATTCTCCTCCAGTCTCCTCTCAGGATTTTAAACATGCATGCACCTGGGCCTATCATATTTTTCAAGCTGCCAGGTCCAGGACTCAAACTGTGAGGCCATGTGGGATCTGGCGCCTTAACCTTCACACCACCTACTGTCCCCCACCAAGTTGTGAATAACTTTATATATATTCTGGATACAACTCTCTACTCAGATGTGTGTTTTGCCAATATTCTCTTCTAGTCTCTAGACTGTCTTTACATTTTCTTAATGGTATTATTTCAAAGAGCAAAGGTTTTTTTTGGAGAAGTTTTTGCTATAGGGCACGTGCGCTCGCCAGACAGAGAGAGACAGATAGAAAGCGAGAAATCACCCCCAGGGGGAATGGCCACGCCACAATCCCTTCTCCTCCATTTTCCTCTTGGGATCTTGGGCACACACACACATGCACCCAGCGTGAGTTTTAAGCCACCGGGTCCGGGACGCGAACCGTGGTCGACTACATGGGAGTCCAGCGACATAGCCATTAACGCTAACTGCTGGTCCCAAAGAGCAAAGGTTTTTAACTTTGATAAAATCCAGTTCTTTATTTTTTTCTTATTTGTCTCATGCTTTTGTATCCTAAGACATATTTACCTAGTCCAAGTTGCAATTTTCTCCTGTGTTTTCTTTTAGAAACTTAGTGATTTAGCTCTTATGTTTAGGTCTATGATCCATTTAAGTCAACTTTTATATACTGGGTTGTCAGAAAAGTCATGACTTTTTTGTATTTTTCTATGCAAAAATGCATGATGACTTTTCTGACAACCCAATGCTTTGCAAGAGAAGAGCTGAAGTTAAATTTTGGAGTGCTGTCCGGTGTCACTGCAAAGACTCCCTAATGCCATTAAGCTGACTTCGTACTTCCTTGAAATGACTTGTCCACGTACGTGTCTGTCTACCGCTGCACTTCCTCGCCTCTTCCACAAAAGATGAACATATTACCTGAAGGTGGAGGGCAGTAAGATGCTGTTTCATGTAATCCCACTAATGCGAAAAAGTGTGATAGGCGATAAATCTTTTTTTAAAAGTATAAGTGTAAATATTAGTTACAGCTGGGGAAAGAGAATTTGGAAGAGTTGGGGAGTCAAGGTATGAAGAGGAATGTTCACCTTTACTCCATACAATATGTCCGATTCCAATAATATGACATTTATATGAATGCTATCATTTTCATTTTAAATACCAGCACATACTACCTTTTTGTATTATTCATAGTCATTTTTTTTTTATTTATTTTTTTGAAGTTGAACA